CTATTCTAGGTGCTGAAGTAATGCGGTAAGAAAGAAACAATATGCCTTATATGAAGTTCTGTATGGCGTATTTAATGAGAAGTTTTACATGTGTTGTTAGTAATTACTAGAGCCGGGATAGCTCAGTCAGTGTAGCTTGGGGCTGGACGGCCTGAGTTCTATTCCCGGCAGCTGTTAGGGATTTGTCACTATTCGACAGCGTCGAGATCGGCTCTGGGGTCCTATAATGGGTACCGGGAGTTCCTTGAGGAGTAGCCATAGCTCTATCGATATAGCGACTGACTAAGGACTGGGAGACTAAGGGTCGGACTTCGACTCCCGGTAATATCAAGAATTTTATCTTCTCCACGTTGTCCAAACCGGCTCTGGGGCCCACACAGCCTCCTATCCAATGGATATGTGGACATACACTACCCCATATGCCTTCATGGCGTAGTGCTTAATTAGTTAAGTACAGAGAGAACTTTACCTTAACTTTTACCGGGAGTTCTTTCACCGGGAATAAAACGTCCAGGACGTGAAGCTGACCGTTCAGCTGCATCTAGCGCTGAGGTAAGAAATGTAGGAGCTATACCTCCACTCACTCATACATCATCATAGCTTTATATTTAATTAATTAAGCACAAGGACACCTCCGCCTTACTCTGTTCGTAATTACAGATTCGTTGCAGAATACTGCAAATGTGCAGTGAAAGCAGTGCGAAAGTAATTTTATTTAACTGCTTAGCTCACACGGCTTACATCATTATTTGAAGTTATAATTTTTGCGCAAATTAACACAGTATCTCTATTGAGGTTAACGGCAGTCAGCACTGTTACTCACTTACATACACTTAGCGCTTACAAAACTGAAAGTGAAATTTAAAGATAGAAGTGTCTCCATAACATTTCCTTCGCGCAGATCAGAGTTCTTTACACCAACAACAGATCCTGCTTAGGGCCTAACTAAACCCGGTCTTTCCTCACTGTTATCAGAAAGGCAAAAATTTCTCCTATAAATTAATTGTATTAGTAACCTACAAATATAAATCACTCCGTCCAATGCGACCTGTAAGTTTTTTACTACAGCACAGCAGCCACGAGCAAACCCTGGACGATATAAAGAACCTCCACATCAAGATAGCCAGGTGGCATAATATCTGCCCCATATAAGAGAGACGATGGGAGGACGAACACGAACCTGCATGGTTTACGAATTTTAATTATTGACAATCCAAAAAATTTTTAATTAGCATCAAGAAATTTTATACAATTTTTAAAAAACTTTACATTCCCAGGAAACTGCTGTGTTTGTGAAATGTTATATTTTGTGTACTATGTATTGTAGCATATAAGTGTACGTACTTTACGTCTAAACAACTTATGTGATGGTGGTTTCCTATTTCTAGCGATGTTTGCCCTCTGAAGATGGTCACAGAGACCGAAACATGTAAGGGTGTTAAGTTTTCATGTAGTAAAAACTTACAGGTCACATTGGACGGAGTGATTTATATTTGTAATTGTTAGTGTGACGGACCAGAATGAAACAAATCAAACTATTAGGAACCTATTTCATTATCTTGTTTTAGCTATTTCACTCTACTCTGTCCGGGAACCGAAGACGGAATTTTGTCTTGAGATCCTCCTAACTAACTGTTGCATAAATTTTTTTAAACATACATTACTTACAACGAGAACAATATTCTGCTGTATGTCGCAATTTAGTTTGACATTAATTTACCGACGTTTCGGAGGAACTTATATTTTTCAGGGTCTACGAATAAGCCGTGAAATCAACTAAGAAGAAACAGAAACAAACTAAGATTTATGATTCTTTCTTGCTTCTTGCAAATTGCTTTCATGGCTTGCTCTTTAGCCCTGAAGATGGAAGCAGTACATCCCTCTGAATTGTTAGCAAACTGCCATCAGACTGCACATCACATCGCATGGTACTCTACTGCTTTGAGAACTTCCAATAGAGTTCGTTGCGCAGATTATGATGTTCACGTGATGTTAATCTTCTAGTGTAAACACAAATAGTTGGCCGCGCCATAGCTCAAGCGGTTAGTCGCTGGCTTCCCACCGCGGCGGCCTGGGTTCAATCTCGGGTTTAATCAAGTGGGATCTGTGGTGGACAGAGTGGCCCTGGGACAGGTACTTCTATTTCCCCTGCCAATTTTCATTCCAGCAATTGCTCCACAATCACCCTCACCTATCATCTTGGGCTGGTACAATAGGCCAGAAGTGGCCGCAGTACAAGGGACTTAGTCCCACCCCACTAGCAATAAAAAAAGTTCAAATACTAAATTTAATCGAAATCTGTTCACTTACTTTGGAGACGAAAGATGAGAACAGACGGACAAATAAACACGATCAGCCTTTACAGACACTGTGCAGACTTCGGACTTGATGGTTCTGGAAAACCGCCTTACAGAGTTTAGGTGCTTTCGCAAAATTTACGAAATCGCTTATCAGTTTCGTCATATCCTTCTGTCCCTCCCTCTGTCTGTCCGCGTAAAACATCCGGACTCCCACTAGAAGGATGTTCGCGAAAGTTTGTATTGTGGAGTTTTGTTAAAATCTGTCGACACAATTAAGCACTGGTTAATAAAATGTAAAAAGGTAAAGTTATCCCTGTATCAGGCCGTGAAGGACCATAAGGTTGTGAGACGTCGAGGCTTCAACATTTTCTCTCGAGACAATCGGCTTACAGCCTTACGCGCCGGCCTGACCGCCGCCCTTTACCCCAAATGGAAGATCCCTGGTATTTATTTCTGTTACAGGCTGAGTCGATCCCAGGGCCATAGTGCGGTTGGAAGATTAGGTAAATTGAAAGAGAAACAATACCCTCATCGAGAATGGAATCCGCGAACTTACGGCTTGTAGCCTATTGCCTCAAACAACTATGCTACCGCGTTAACCCAAGGTTTTACTGCATTCATAACATTAACTGAAGACAGATTAAATGGATTAGTACCTTAAATCAGGTCACGACCGCTTCGCTCCACATTTAATCCATATATCTCAGTCAGCTCTCATTCCAGCGTCGGACCTTACAGAGTGTTTCTACCGATAGCACCGTAAATTAATCAGTAAAGAATAATCCTCCTGTAAATCAATCTTCTATAGTGTAGCACGTATACCCGTTGCTAAGCAACACATTCGTAACACGCACTAATGCACTCAGTAGGAAGCGACGTTCTCGGTCCGTGGAACAGCTACGTGACGCAACAACACAAATTTTGGAGGCGGTATTTTATGTGTTGTCCTTGCCGAGATGTTTTGACAGAGTTGTCGGTCAGTACGAACATGCACACGGAAGTCGAGGAACCTACGGCGTTGGAAACCGTTACCAGACGACGACCGATGAAGACACAGCAGACTGAGAAGATTTATTACGGAATTGTATTGAACTGTAGTGAGTGTGTGAATTAGCGATAGCGCTATAGTTACTTGTAGTTACGTTCTGTATGAGTTGAATAAAACCAATTACCAATCCAAACCCCTTCTATAGTCACTCATACACGCGACAATATTCTGAGTTACCAACAGCGTCGTTAAGTAAATTACAAATAATAATAATAGACTTAGGGACAGAAGGATATCGTTGCGCAATGCTAGAGTACATCTGTCACGTGTTTCCAGTTTGTAGAAGTGAAACTTAGCAAAGCCGGATCAGGTTCGTGTGTTTTGTAACGGCGTGTGGTTCAGTGGAACTTCACTGACGATTCAGAGGAATGTGTTGCCCCACATTCAGGGTCGGAGATTGACGCAAACAAAAAACTGCATTAAATAGGCGGTAATTGAGGCGATAAGCTTCTCCGAAACGTCGGCTTCTGTCAATCTACACGTTGTTACATCGCAGGAGAACATACTGCTCATAACAAACACAAAATCAAATTAAAATAACTGCCATCTATTAGTCCTACACAAGCACACACCCGGAACACAACACCAGGAAACAAATAAAACACTACACATAAAACGAACACGGAAAATACGCACATGTAAAGTAAGTCAAGTATATACACTTTTCCACCTTATTCTTCACTTCCACACAACATGTTTCAGCACTAATGTGCCATCCTTAGGTGTCTTTATGCACGTTAAACTATTGTACTGCATGCCATGATGTCTTAATTCTAAAATGACTAAAATATGTATTTGTCATATATGACGATGAATTCTAAATAATAAAATTTTCAGGGTTCTTCCTACGTCGCACATCATGGCATGCGGTACAATAGTTTAACGTGCATAAAGACACCTGAAGATGGCACATTAGTGCTGAAACATGTAGTGTGGAAGTGAAGAATAAGGTGAAAAAGTGTACACACTGTAAGACGGTCAGCATAAACCATGGACATGAATCAGTGTAAGAGGACGCTAAAATATAACATAAGTCCAGTATTTGACGTGAGAACACATGTACCGTACGAGAGCTGGTGTTACCGCGCTCATCAAATAAAACGCTCATTACAGAGGATCCAGGACTACACACCAAATAAAATAAATAAATAAAAATTGCAGTAATAGGAATAAAAATTAACCAACATTAGTGTAATTTTAATTAATTCAAATTACCCTATTTATTTTAACTTAATTATAAAAATGTTAAGGCAGATTTTTAGATTTTAAGAGAAAATTTGAAAACATTAAAAGTAGGTTGTATTTCGAATGAGGCATATCTTTCGAAAAACTAGGATTTTTTTTTTTTTACAATTTACGTTATTTGTTTAAGTCTACTATTAAAAGCCTACATTATAAACAAAAATATGACCTCTTAATTTTAAACATTGGCCAATAGAAGGATGATAGCAGAGAGAGTTGAGAGTGAGTGTATAAATACTACCCGATGATGGCAAAAAAATAGTGACCGAAACATGTAATTATATAAACTGTATAGTTATCCTAGAGCTATACATATATTGTGAGACTAAAATATTCTACACACAATATGCCGCTAAAATGCAATATTACTGCCAACTGTAAATATACTGATAACTTTTTTCCCTACTCACAGTCATCTGCCAGCTGGGTCAATGTTTCGCCCCACGCGAACTGATGGTCACGCTAGTCATGTTGTCCTGTCCTGGGTAGCTCCCCTCAACATCATGAGACCGGCGTTCAATTACTCTTGTTTCAAGTTCTTCCTCGTCGTATGTCTACGTGTTACTCCTTGTTTTCGTTTATTTAACCACATATCACGGACGGCGCACTGACTCAACTTTAGATCCTTAAGGCATTTCTTCAGTTCTACGCTGTTAGTTTGCACGATCAGGCTCCATCAGCTTGTGTCGTACATATCACGAACTTTACATCGACACAATTGTAAAGAATGTTCCGGTCTTCCTTCCTGTCTTTATTGATGTACGTAATATGTGCTTCTGTGATACAGAATGTTTCCAATTGGACAGTACTATCAAGCGTCATGCAAGTCTTGATGCTAGAGACACCTGGAGGAACCAGCAGGAACTTTCACGTTCATTCCTCAAGTTTTGTACAGGTATTTCCACAGGTAAACTACAGTGTTTGGAATTCTAGCATGTCGGGGACGGTAACTACCGACTCAAAGCACAATGAATGATGTATGTGTACTATACTTACTTACTTACTCACTCATGGAGCTGAGCACTTCAGGAGGAGCCGCCAATTCTGCAGCTACTCAAGAATTTCCCAGCATTTTATAGAACCGGAAGGTTCATTACCGTGTTCACAAGAGCCCAACACTGGTCCCTATCATGAGCAAGATAAATCCAATCCATTTTAATATTTTCCACCCACCTACGCCTTGGTCTCCTCAGTTATTTCTTTCCTTCTGGCTTTCTCACCATTATCATCTAAGCATTCCACGCCTCCCTCATTCGTGCTACATGCCCCGCCATGATGTATATGTAGCCTGCTTTAATATTAAAGTTCTGAAATATTTCCTTGCCTCAAGTCGCGAAAGTTACAAGTACATTGGCAGCAACTGCAACAACTAGCAAAATTTTATATTACATATATTGCATTCCTTATGTTGCGTCGCAATGGGCCCGCTTGCCGAATTTCCTGAGGCGTACTTGCGGTGGATTTTAATTCTGAACGTAATGCTTTGTATTAGGTTAGTATGAAGCTGGGCTAGGGTCTGAGAATCCGGGTGCTTGACCCAGTCGCTAACGTGAGTCTTGTGACCCACAAAGTTGGATTAGAGCGGCACTTCACTACGTTCTGGTATTTCTAAACCATTTGCATCATTCCATGACGAAGATATTTCCTGCACGGTATCAATTCTTTTTAGTACACCGCGGTAGCGTAGTTGGTTGAGGCACTACGCTACAAGTCGGAAGGTCCCGGATTCGATTTCCGATGAAGTCATTGAATTTTTCAATTGTCTAATCCTTCCAACCTGTGTCCCCGGGGTCGACTAAGCCTCCAACACAAATGAGTACTAGGAACCTTAAAGGGGGTAAAGGGCGGCCGGGCGGCACGTAAGGCTGACAACCTCACCGCCATCTGTGAGCCGATTTTCTAGAAAATGTGGGAGCCTCGACGTCTCACAACCCTATGGGACTCCACGGTCTGTTCCAGGGATAGCTTTACCTTTTCTACCTACACCTAGTCTAGAATATCCTCCTCGACGCCTGTTCTCAAACATATTATTATACGTTACAGAAACGTAGACGCCGGAAAACGAAAAGAAAGCGTAAGGTAGAGGTAGTTTCGTTCTCAAACGAACAACAATAATGAAATAGCTTGGAGATATATTGACTTAAGTTCTAGCGCAGCTCGACGATTTCAAAAAGTGAACAATTGGAAGAAGATGGCAGAGTAAAGCCGCAACATGTAACAATTGATGTCATTTTAATGTTATTTTAAATTAAAAGGAATTGCGAAGAGTTTTAAGTTGCATTAAGTACAGAGATGAATGAGCGATATGCGTATTAATGAAACAGGATGCTCGAATATAATATTATATAACGTCGAACAGTAGGACGATTCGTGAAAGATGAATCTACAAGGATTCGCCTCATGGTCGAGTCAAGATAATCTCTCGGAATGTGCCCAGAAGTACTAAGGAAAACCACTGTAAAGCCTCCTTCAAGATAGCCGGTTTCGTGGTCGAGATTTGAACAGAGCACCTCCCGAATAAAGGTGTAGAACTTTACTGCTGTTTCACAGATGGCACTAGTGGTAGATAGTACATGTTTTCACAAATTGTTTCCCTTTCTTTGTATTGCAGCTCTTGCACTTGGTTTTGTTGCCTAGGTTGGTACCACAAATTTCTACCTCATTTTCTATCCCAGTTCCACGCATGTGCGAGTTCTGTCACAATTTTTATTGTATATTTTCTAGTTACCTCCCGCTGAATTAGCCTGGTCTCAGGTGATTAATTAGCTGCGTAGATCTGACAGAGGTTGTCCAGTGATTGAGATTAGCTCCTTTTAAGGGATATACGATAGTTGAGTAGGTGCCTTCCCCTCTCACCTGAGGAAGGAAATATATCCAGTTTCCGAAACGTCATGTTTTTTCTATTTTCTAGAATACCGGACGACGGATTAGTCTAAAAACCCAGTAATCCCGAGAATAGACAGTCTGTAGCGTCATATAAAATGAGAACGTGGTTATGAATGGGAGCGGACATAGACTTGGATTTAATGAAGGTACTGTCGCAACATTCGCTTGAAGAGACAAACCCAAAACTGGTGCCCCATGGAGTAAACCGAACTATTGCGCGCGTGTGCCTGTATCTTTGTGCCTTCATTTCAAGTTACCTGCTCGATTTGTATTCAGGATTGCATTTTTATGACCTGCTTTCCTGAATTTTAATGTTGGAAATCGTGATTGTCACCATACGCAGAGAAATCTCTGAACCAAATTTCGCAACCCAATTCCTATGGAGGCTGCCAAGAAATGCTCGGAGTCTAAGTGCGATCTCAGGCTTTCAGGCTCCTGTCAGGCTTCAAACAATATAAGAAACATGCCTTATCTTTACCTAAACTGTGGAGACGCGGCAATAGTGTAAATGTATCTCTCCATTTTGTGTTTTTATTTGTATCCGAGCAGTTAGAAATGTTTGTTCAGAAAAAGATAGATGCTGCAGATCTGTAGGAGATACCATGGTAGGACATATGTATCTTATAAAGGACATTATTACAATGCATATTCGAGAATTTGTTCATACACGTGTCGTTGTTAGGAACAATTGTTCTGAAATCTTACCGCAATGGAAATAATTTCCTCAAAATGAAGCTCTCTGCAACTACGTACATGATGTTCACCAGAGTCTAATCCTGCATTCGGTCCTGGTAATAATTAACATATTGTAGTCACATAATTGTTACATATTTAAATATTTTTGTTGTTTTCTTCGTTTTCTTCTAAGTCGATTTATTTCTTAACTCTGTTTACTTATTTATCTGTAAGAACAAGGATAACTCAGTCGGTATAGCGACTGGCCATGTGCTGGAACACTGAGGGGTCGCAGTTCAAGTCCCGGTAGGGTCAAGAATTTTCTCTTCTCCACGTCGTCCAGACCAACTCTGGGGTCCACCCAATTTCCTATCCAATGAGTAACGAGGGCTCTTTCCCCGGGGGTAAAACAGCCGGGGTGTGAAACTGACAGCTCACCTCCAACTAGTGCCGAGGTCAAGAAAATGTGGATCTATGAATCCACTCCCCATACGCCCTCACGGCTTAGTTGTTTAATTAGTTAAACACAAGGACAAATTTAGAATTGTTATTTATCTTATTCTGTTTTGGTTAACTTAGTTTTCATCTTTCTTTTCCCTTTTCTTTATATTTCCTTTGACTTTGATCCGTAATTATGGTTCGCATCAAAAATCGCTGGTTGAGGCACTATGCTACAAGCTGGAAGGTCGAGTGTTCGATTCCCGAAGAGGTGGTTCTAACAGAAATGAGTACCACGAATCTTCCTAGGGATAAAGGGTGGCCGGCGCGTAAGGCTGACAACCTCGCCGCCATCTGTGAGCCGATTGTCTAGAAAATGTGAGAGCCTTGACGTCACAACCCTACTGGTCTCCACGGCCTGTTACAGGGATAGCTTTACCTTACCTGCCCCAATGCCACAGGCTTGATTCTGTTAGCACCCCGTATCTCTGTGGCCCGCCTTGAGAACAGGAGCTTGAGACATTTCTACCTAAGCGGCTGAAATATTTTAAAACTTTAGGATGATAGCGCTCTGTTATTATTCCGGAGGTCTCCACAGCCGTCTCATGAAACCAGTTATGATTTCTTGAGGGAGGGTTATTCTACGATGCTTCCCATGTCTGGATTACGTAGCGGCGAATAGTAAGATGAATTATGAACAGTAAGTTCCAGTACATTTGGAAGGAAGTGGTCGTGGCTTAATTGAGGTAATATCCCGGCATTTCCGGGAATAACTGAGGAAAACTAAGTGGAAATTCAGAATAGATGGTGTCTTGGCTGATATTCGAAACGAACTCCTCCTAAACAAATGTACTTATGTACATCAACCACAACGACTACAAGGACATGACAACAGATTATTGAAGAAATAAGAAACCCTCCCAACGTTGTACGGAGATTGAAGAGACAATGGCCATCCGACCTTCCGAAAAGACAAAATTGGGTTAAGCAATAAATTCTAGCATCAATTGTGTTTAAGAGCATCGACGCTGGTTGATTCTCTACTCACGTTCCTACTTTGAACCAATTTACTTATTACTCCTTGCTGTAGTGAGTAGATTGTAAATTCGCAGAGAAATAAATAAAAAAAATGTACATCAACCAGCGCCCTCGCAGCTGAGGAGTGAAGCCTGTGAACACGGGCCCGAGCAACTGAGCTGCGCAGTCGCGATTACAGACCCCCATGAAATAATTGCACTGTACATGCAGTGACAACGCCTCAAGCAGCCGCAAGTTAGCCTCGTGCGTCCGCGCACTGTAGCTCAGGAGGAAGACAGAAGGAAGTAGAGTGAAAGTGATCTAAGAGAGAGAGAGAGAGAGAGAAAGTATTGCGTGCAGCCGGGGTTCCCCTGCCTCCCGGCACTTACGTCACCCAACTTCCCCAATGTCTTCACAACATCCTGTTTTAGTGTTCACTGGTACTTGGTTCTAATCCCGGCCGGGTACACCGATATCCTCACGTACTTTTGTCGTAACGTTCCTCGGTTGCTGCAGTACCTTGAGGTAGACCACGAGTGTCTCCTTATAAATCCGTACCAATTTATCTTTCATGACAATCTTCTCATCTTGCGTCCGTGGATGTGTGTCTACAGTTATTTCACGAGACTGTCAGTATCTCGGACTACATATATTGTCACGGAGTATGTGTGACTGTGGACCGAGTTTTGATTGGCGAATAGATTTACTGACCAGATAGAGGTCGTAACTGCAATAACTATAACACACTCGCTGGTTTCAACACTAA